GGCTTTGGGGATGCCATTTTGGTATTTATATTTTAAAGAAAACCTTTTGACTACTTGGATCTTATAAAAGCCCGGGCTCCTTTTTTTGTTTTTTTTTTTTTTTTTTTGGGTCTTTTTGCGACGGTCTCCCTGTAGCCCCAGCTGTCCTGGACCTATGTAGACCAGGCTGGCCTTGAACGCACAGAGCTCCGCCTGCCTCTCCCTCCCCAGGGCTGGGATTAAAGGCATGTGCCACCATGCCCGGCCTGTCCAGGCCTCCTTTTATGCTTTTAACATGATATAATGTATTAAAAGTACTCTAGAATCCACGATGGAAGGAGAGAACCAACTCCTTGAAAGTTTGTCCTCTGACCTCCACAGGTGTCCACACACTAATAATAAAAATAAAATTTAGGGACTGGAGAGATGGCTCAGCGGTTAAGAGCACTGGCTGCTCTTCCTCGAGGACCCAGGTTCAAGTCCCAGTACCCACATGGGCTGCTAACAACAGTCTTAACTCCAGTTCCAGGGGATGACACTTTATTCTAACCTCCGAGGGCTTTGCATTACATGGGTGCACTCACATACATGGAGGACACACACACACACACACAAAATAAAGTGTTTACAACAAAATTTAAAGAAATACTGTTTTTGTTCTGAAGGTTTCTAGACAACCATTTAGCATTACTAAAATTATAACGAATACCACCTCAAGTGGCTTGATTTAGTTTACACGTGGGAGGTCCCTAGGGGCTTGAACATCACAGGATGGTACCTAATTTTGGTCATAGGTCTTGTTACTCAGTTGCTGTTGGACCTGTTTCTCCCATAGGATAATTTTTAAGAATCCATGAATGTCCTCACAATTAACATTTGTTAATAAGCCTTAAAATTATGCATTAGGGATTTAAAACTGACCTTTGGTGTCTTGGGGTACTCTAGAGGAACAGGACCAATGGAATAAATATGTTAAAAGATTTATTAAGTTGCTTTACACAATAGGGTTAGAGTGGTCCAAACAATGATATTCTCACTCCTGAGAGGCCAAGAACATAGTAGTAGTTCTGTCCACAAGGGTAGGTGCCTCAGCTATTCCAACCCCAAAGGCCTGGAGGAGCTGCTGGTTTTCAGTCTGCATTGGAAACCTGAAGAAGCTGGTTTTCTAATATCAGCTGAGGAAGCAGCAGCTACAGCAGCAGGATAGATGAATTCACCACTGAAAATGAAAGCCAAGCAGGCAAAAAAGCAAAGCTTTCCTTCTGTGTGTCCTTTTATCTGGCCTCCTGCCAGATGTCTTCCCACATCAATTAAGGCACTCAAGACAATCCCCCACAGAGATGTCCACAGACCAACCTGATGTAGACAGTCCCTCATTGAGACACTGTCCCTAGGTGATTCTAGGTTGTGTTGAGTTGACGAAGCTAACCATCATACTTGATAAGATAATCTAGAATCAGTGTGTTCTCTCATTTTGGAGATAAGAAATCATAGTGGTGACTCTGTTATGTACCCCGGGACTACTGAGGAAAGACCACCAGACTCAATTCAGATTGAGATAAAAGATTTTATTTAAGCTAGCTTGGACTGCAGCCTCCACATCAGAATAGAGTGCTGCAGTGGGGAGGGAGAGGGAAAGGGGACCTTTTAAAGCTAAAAACCGCAAAAAAGAATGTTGACGCGGTGGTCCCCGAATAACAGGGTAGAGGGTGATCTCAGTCTACATGTCAAGATGCTCTAAAATAGCAAAACAAGCAAGTTACAGAAGTCAGAATCAGCAATTAGTCATATCGTAATAATTTTGTTTTCTATATGTCTAGAGAGCAAGTGTTCATGGCAGCATTCTCCTTGGAGGAAAAGGGAGACAGGGGTCAGGGTTTCTGAAAACAATCCTTGAGCTAGAAATACACTATGGCTAAGCTTCTAAGATAGCTACTTTATCCAAAATGGGGTCAGTTTGGTCAGTACAACTCATGCTTGTACTCATAGGACCTGCGAGCCTAAGGGAAGAACATCATGAGTTTCAGGCCAGCCTGGGATGTTGATGAGGCCAAGAGTGGGGAGGTGGAGGGAGAAAGAGGAGGAAAGAGGAGGAAAGAGGAGGAGGAAACCAAACAACGAAGCTGGGCAAAGTGGCACACACCTGTGTGTGTGGGAGGTGGAAGCAGGAGGATCAGGAGTTTGGGTCATTCATGGCTATGTAAGTTTAAGGCCAGTTTAGGCTACACGAGATCATGTCCCAAAACTAAACCAAAGAATGCAAGCAAGCCCAGGGAAGGCAAATTGCCCAGGTTCATCCACAGTCTACAGTCTCTTCCAGAGCCCAGTCCTCCAGATATTCAGGCCCAGTATTTATTTGTTGAATTACATAGAGTGGGCCTTCCTGAAGATAAGGATCAGAAAAGGTAATGAGAATACTCAGATCCTTTTTCTTAGCCTTAATTGTATATAGATTGAAGTCATAACGTTAAAATAGAAACCTGAAATCAGTGCTACCAATGACAGATCAAAAATGAAAAAAGGGCCAGTGAGATGGCTCAGCAGGTAAAGGTCCTTGCCACCAAGCATGGCAGTCTGAGTTTGATCCCCAGGATCCACATGGTAGGAGAGATACCCACTCCTGCAAGTTGTCCTCTGACATCTGTACAAGTGCTGTGGTATGTACACACACACACACACACACAAATAAATGTAATTTAAAAAATATTTTTTTGTCTTTTTGAGACAGGGTCTCCCTGTAGCCCCAGCTGTTCTGGAACTCACTATGTAGACCAGGCTGGCCTGGAACTCATAAAGATCTGCCTGCCTCTGCCTCCCAAGTGCTGGGATTAAAGGCGTGCACCACCACATCCAGCTTTTTTTTTTAAATTTATATAAGTGTTATGCCTGCATGTAGGTAAGTGCACCCGTGTCATGCAATGCCCTCGGAGGACAGAAGAGGTTGTCAGATCCCCTGGAACTGGAGTTACAGACAGTTGTTAGCTGCCATGTTGGTGCTGGGATTTGAACCCAGGTCTTTTGCAAGAACAGTGTTATTAACTGCTGAGCCATCTCTCCAGCCCAATCTTAAAATTTTTTAAAGGAAAAAGGCTGGGCTTGTTGGTGCATGCCTTTCATCCTAGCACATGGGAAGCAAAGGCAGATAGATATCTGTTATCTCTGAGGTTAAAGCCAGCTTGATCTATGTAGGAAATCCCAGTCCAGCAAGAGCTACACAGCAAGACCCTGTCACAAAATATAAACAAATAAAGGGGTAGGGACAATCTTTAAACTTTTTTTAAAAAATGGGGAGACTCATTCCCCAAATTTCAATATCTTTGTAAACAGACAATAAACTGATCAGCAACTATGATTCTTATAATAGATCAAGAGGAATGTATGTCTCAATGTAGCAAATCTGAAACTATGATTGGTCCTGTGACATAATGGTTATTTGAGAGACGAAATATGATAAGACATACTGATATCTTGCGACTAGAATTTAATATGTGTTCAAGAATCAAGACTATAGTTTTAACTCATCCTTGTCTTAGAACTATTTATCAATACTTCTAAAATATCATAGAATATATGCTTTAGTTTATTTAAAAGACAGGAGTATCTTCTTTCAGAAAGATAATTCTAAAAGTTATTTTAAAAGAAAAAAGCATTTTTTTTTTGGTCTTTTTGAGACAGAGTTTCCCTGAAGCCCCAGCTGGCCTGAAGCTCACTATGTAGACCAGGCTGACCTTGAACTGACCTTGAACTGACCTTGAACTCACAGAGATCTGCGTGCCTCTGCCTCCTGAGTGCTGAGATTAAAGGCATGTACCACTACACCCGGCAATCGCCTCTCTCTCTCTCTCTCTCTCTCTCTCTCTCTCTCTCTCTCAATCTTTTTTGAGACAGGGTCTCCCTGTAGCCCCAGCTGTCCTGGAACTCGCTATGTAGACCAGGCTGGCCTTGAACTCAGAGATCCGCCTGCCTCTGCCTTCCTCGTGCTGGGATTAAAGGCATGTGCCACCACGCCTAGCCCTCTCTCTTTTTTTAAAATAGAGATGTTTTCCTTTTTAAATTCCTATATTACCTTGTTCTAGGAAAGTGATTTTCTTTTCTTTTGGTCTTTTTAAGATAAGGACTCCCTGTAGCCCAGCTGGCCTAAAACTCACTAAATCAGGGTGGCCTTGATCTCACGGAGATTCTCCTGCCTTTGCCTCCCAAGTGCTGGAATTAAAGATGTGTGCCACATCGGCCTAAGAAAATGATTGCTAAAACTGCAGAATATATTTTGGGGCTGGAGAGGTATCTCAGCGGTTGAGAGCACTGGCTGCTCTTGCAGAAGATCTGGGTTCGATTCCCAGAACCCATGTAGCAGCTAGCAATTGTCCATAACTCCAATTCCAGGGAATCTGATGCCCTCTTCTGA